CAATCCTCTTTTTGCTGAGGAAGATTAGCCCTGAGCTAACATCTGTGCCTATCTTCCTCTATTTTATTGTGGGACACCTGCGACAGCATGGCTTGATAAGCAGTGAATAGGTCTACACCCTGGATCCGAAGTGGTGAATCCAGGGCCACCAAAGTGGAGCAGGCAAACTTAACCACTATGCCACCAGGCTGGTCCCTGCAATAATTTTTAAGAGTATAAAGAAATCCAGAGCCCAAATAGTTTGAGAAGTGCTGTTACAAACACACCATTATATATGAAAAACAGTATATTAACAAACTTTATTATTTAACACATCACTTCTAATGATTCCTTTAAGCTGATGTGTCGGGGGATCAGAATTTACTACCCTAGAATGTATCTCCTTGGCTTGATTATTTTTAAGAACAAGAGTCAGGAAGAAACTTTGATTTTCCCCCTAACTGCCTAAAAGAATTTAAGACAGAAGTCCTGTTTCATGAAGGAGCTATCACCATAGATAACTACAGTATAACATAATATGAACTAGGTGTGGTAGACAGGGAGGAACCTAGCAAGGCCCATTTGATCAAAGCCCTACCCATGTCCCATTGTCTTTGCAAGGTATGGCAAACATTTGTTTACCAAACATTCGCTTTCCCATCTCCATGTGATTGCCTTCCTCCTCTCTGAAGTCCCAAACCACTACCCTAAACATCCTGCTTTGTCTTTAGCTGAAGATATTTAAGGTGGTGGCTTCAGGCATTTCAGCAAGTTAGTTTTCCTGGGTTTCTCCCATGCATACATGTTACTAAACTTTGATTTTCTCCTGCTATTCTGTCTCATGTCAATTTAATTCTTAGACCAGCAAGAAGAACCTAGAGGGTAGAGGAATAGTTCTTCCTCCCCTACAGAGGTTATCACACCAGTGTGATATAAGCAGTTAAAAACATCACACTACCTTTGGGTGGCCATTGTCCTCCCAGGAAACTCTTCAAAAAGCAAATAACTAAGAAGAATAAATATAGCCTATAATTAATACCCTAGAGGCAATAATTTATTAGAGGCTTGTTCTTTTATGACAGGGATACCAGAAAGCTGATAAAGAACATCTAATAGGATGCTGAAAGGGGAAACAAGTGCAAGTCTGGAAGAGAGCTGGACATTCTGGAAATTCAAAGGCTATTATTGTCAGAATACAGAGAGCAAAATCAAAAGAAGAATGAAAGCCTCTATGAGTATGCAGGGGTCAAGTCAAAGGCTTTTGCTAAGTATATTGAGGACCATTCTAGTGACTAACTGGACAGACATGTAGAGAGGAAGAAGAGGAATTTCAAAGATGACTTTCAGGTTTCTGGCTTAAAGAACCAGGAAGGCTGTGTTGTCATTAACTGAGATGGTAAACACTGCAGGAGGAGAAACTTGCGGGGAGAGATACTGATTTTGCCTTTGAATTAACTGAATTTTAAGTGCCTCAAAGACTACTTCTACTTGAAGATATCCACAGGTAGCCCGATGACAGCCTGTAGTTCCAAAGATTCTGGGATAGAAACATAGATTTGGAAGTCATTGGAATACAGCACACTTCCTCACCTTTAAGACAATGATTGTACCATGACTTAACAGATTTTTGTTTACTTAAAGGAAGATGGGATCATTATTTTACCAACAATATGTGATTATATATTCTTATTTTTATAATCAAAATTTCATTCTCAACAATTATTGAAAACATACTACATGGCAGGACATTGTTTTTATTTTTTATTTCATTAATTTCTTATCTTTATTACTTTCCTTTTCCTTTCTTTGGATTTATCTTGATATTCTTACCTAAGTTCTTGAGATGGATGCTTAGCTCATTAATTTTAAGTCTCTCTTCTTTTCCAAACTTGATTTAAAGGCTATTCATTTCTCTTTAGGTATTTTAGCTTAATCTGACAAGTTTTTCTTTTCTTTACAACTCAGCGGTTTTTAATATATTCACAAAGTTGTACAACCATCACCACCATCTAACTCCAGAACATTTTTATCACCCCAAAAGGAAACCCGTTCCCATTAGCTGTCACTCTCCATTCTCTTCTCCTCCCACATCCTGACAACCAGTAATTTACTTTCTGTCTCTATTTTGCCTATTCTGGACATTTCATATAAATGGAATCAAATAATACATGATCTTCTGTGACTGACTTTTTTCAAGGCTCATCCATGTTGTAGAATCAGAACTTTACTCTGTCCTACGGTTGAAAAATATTCTATTGTATGGATACATCATATTTTGTTTATCCATTCATCCACTGATGGATTTGGGTTGTTTCCAGTTTTTGGCTTTATGAATAATGCTGCTATGAACATTCCCGTACAAGTTTTTCTATGGACATATGTTTTCAATTCTCTAGGAGTGGAATTGCTGGGTCATATGGTAACTCTGTTTAACATTTAACGAACTACCAAACTGTTTTCCAAGTGGCTGCAAAATTTTATATTCCCACCAGCAGAATATGAGGTTCCCAATTTCTTCATATCCTTGCAATATTTATTATCTCCCCTCTGGATTATAGCCACCCTAGTGGGTGTGAAGTGGTATTCCCCTGTGATTTTGACTTGTATTTCCCTGATGGCTAATGATGTCAAGCAGCTTTTCACATATTTATTGGCTACTTGTATATCTTCACTGGAGAAATGTCTATTCAAATCCTCTGTCCATTTTTTAATTGGGTTATTTGCTTTGTATTATTAAAGTTGTAAGCATTCTTTATATATTCTGGATACTAGACCCTTATCAGATATATGATTTACAAACATTTTCTCCCATTGTGTTGTCTTCACTTTTTTTTCCATTAAAAAGTTTTTTTTTTTTGTCTTCACTTTCTTGATAGTGTCTTTGAAGCACAAAGTTTTTAATTTGAATGAAGTCCAACTAACATTTTTTAATTTTATTACTTGTGCTTTTGGTGTCTTATCTAAGAAACCATTGCCAATCCAAGGTCATGAAGATTATGTCTGTTTTCATCTAAAAGTTTTGTAGTTTTAGTTCTTAGATTTAGGTCTGTGGTTGATTTTGAGTTAATTTTTTTGTATGGTTTGAAGTAGGGGTCCAACTTCATTCTTTCGCGTGTGGATATCCAGCTGTCCCTGCACCATTTACTGAAGAGACTATTCTTTCCCTATTGATATGTCTTGACATCCTTGCCAAAAATCAATTGAACACAAATCTGAAGGTTTAATTTTTGGACTCTCAATTCTATTCCACTGAGCTGTCTATCTGTATGCCAGAACCACACTCTCTTGATTACTGTAGCTCCGTACTAAGTTTTGAAATTGGGAAGTATGAATCCTCAACTTTGTTCTTTTTCAAGATTGTTTCAGTTATTCTAGATCCTTCACATTTTCAAATGAATTTTAGGATCAGCTTAATTACTGCAAAAAATCAAACTGGAATTGTGACAGATTGCACTGAATCTGTAGATCCTTCTGGCAAATATTTTCATCTTAACAATATTGTCTTCCAATTCATGAACATGGGATGTCTTTCCACTTCTTCAGGTCTTTAATTTTTTTCAATGATGACCCGTAGTTTCCACTGTACCTAGAAGTTTTAATATGCACTATCTGTGCTATCATTTAGTTCTAAATATCTTATTTCCATTATGATTTCTCCTTTAACCCAGAGATCAATCAGAAATGTGTTTAATTTCCAAACATATATGTTTTTGTTTTGGGCGTTTTTTTAAGTTAACTTTTTGTTATTGTTACTAGCTTGATTGCACTGTGTTTCAAGAATTCATTTTGCACCATTTCAAAACTTTCAAAATTTAACTTTTGCTTTACAGCTCAGTAAGTTTTGATACCAGTAAGCCAGTTTTGATACCTTTTCCATGTTTGGCTTGAAAAAGAATGTGTATTTTGCAGTTGTTGGGAACAATGTTCTGTATATGTCTATTAGGTCAAGCTCATTAAAGACATTCAATCCTTTATATTTTTGTTGTCTCTGTCCCTCCCACTTGTTCTATCAATTACTGAGAGATATATTAAAATCCACTTTGATGATGGATTGGTATATTTCTTCTTAAAGTATTATTTTTTGCTTTAAACATTTTGAAACTATGTTATTAGATGAACACAAACTCAAAATTGCTTAATTTTCCTGACATACTGAGCCCTTTTTCTCTATGATGTCATTCTCCTGATCTCTAGTAATGACATTACTATAAAGTTTATTTTGTCTGATGTTAATAGTTTTACCAGCTTTCTTTTGATTAGTATTTGGTATGTCTTTTCTCACTATTTTACTTTCAAAGTTTCTGCATCCTTTTCCTTTAGACATATTTTTTACAAATAGCATTTTCCTCTTTTTAAAACCAATCTAGTGCATTCTCTTTTAACTGAAGCATTTAGTTCATTAACATTTATTTGGACTTACAGGGCCATCTTATTTTGTGCTGTCATACATGTCCTATGTTGCTTTTTCTATCCTTTCCTCCTATTTGACTAGAATTTTTTTTTTTTAGGTCAATTCATCCTGAGCTAACATCTGTGCCAATCTTCCTCTATTTTTTGTATGTGGGATGCCTCCATAGCATGGCTGATGAATGGAGTAGGTCTGCATTCAGGATCCAAACCCAAGAACCCAGGCTGCCAAAGTGAAGCACATGGAACTTTAACCACTTAGCTACAGGGCCAGCCCCCTAATTTTTTACCTCTAGAAGTTATATGCATAGTTTCCACTCTTTTACAAGCTATCTAGTAATTACAACATACATTCCTGACTCAACAATTCTAAAAATATTCAGTATGATTATCCTCCTCCCAAACAATATAAATTTAATTCCATTCACTCCCACCCACCTTCCTGCTACTGTTATCATCTATTTTAATTCTAACTTCTTTTATTTCGTTTTAATGTCCTCAAAACACTGGGTTAATTTGTTTTATTATTTGATAGTTAATGTTTGTTTAGATTAGCCACATGCAATATTTATCACTTTCTCTACTCTTCATTCCTTCCATCTGGGACCACTCACCTTCCGCACAAAGAACATCCTTCAGAATTTCTTCCAGTGAGGATCTTGCTAGTGGCAAACTGTTGTTGATGGTTCAAAAATGTCTCTATTTCACCTATGTTTTAAAGATTTTCATTGGATACGGCATTCTAGGTAGAAAGTTTATTTTCTCTTAGCAAAATGAAGAAAACATTCCACTGTTCTCTGACTACAATAATAGCAAATGAGAATCAGGTGTCAGCTATCTTTTACTGCACTAATTCTATCTTCAGTGCCTAATATACTGATAAACCTGTGCTTAAGTTAGAACGCATCAGTCAGCATCAACAATCATCAATTCATAGCTATGCATTAAATTTTTCAGTTTTAAATTTTTATTTGGTCAAAGCAAAGCATGCACACAGTTTAAAAGTAATGTAATATAAGTGACAAACTATAGTAGTTCTTGCCCACTCTTCATTTTACTCAGTCTTCCTTCTCAGAGGCAATTATTTTAAGTTCTTTTGTCTGTTTCTTTTGGAATGTTTATTATCTCCAAATAATTAAAAAATATCCTATCTTTTGATTCATCAGTTTTAAACACTATTTACCTTCTATTATGGACAATGAGAATTTGGCTGTTATATTCCTGTTTCTTCTCCCATCCGTCTAAGAGTTATGATTTTCACTTAAACCAATATTCAGTGTTCCTATGACTATCATGCATCAATTTTAAAATTTTAGTTATTTTACTTGTCCTTTCTAGATATTCTATTTGGTTAACTTTCCAATCTACTGGGCTAATCTTAGCTTCTTGTTCCTTGCACATATTTTCTGGCCTCTCTTTTATTTTCTTATACATACTCAACAGCTTTTTTAGACTGTAACGGAAAATTCCATTTCCTGATTGTTGCTGCTGTCTACTGTTCTTATTCATAATGCCTTGTTTCTGCGAGTTTAGTTTGCTTGCATTGAGCTGCTTATTGCCCTTAGAATTTTACTTTTGGGCATTTTTTAAACCTAATAAAGATAAGTACCTCTGGAAAGGATTTCTGCCAGACACTTTGGGACTCCATCAACTTGGAATCACTCTAAGTTAAATTATTGGCTTTATGTTTTCAAATCATGTAAGTAGTGAGAATTCTGGCTGCAACCTGAGGGAGGGCTTATGGCTTCAAAGTCTCAGTGGTGACTTCCCCATGCAAATCGGCGTCAAGGTTGGACATAGCTGATTTTCCTGGGGAAGGCTAAAATTATCTCTCATCCACCTTTATAGTATATTCCTTTGGGATTCCAGGTTTACTGGGTGATCCCTTACTGGACTTCTCATCTTGCACAGACTGGGTTCTTTCTCTTCTTTCCTGTATCTCCAGAAGCTACAAGTCTAAACCTCATGTTTTCTCAGTTAAGCAATTCCTGCAGGGCAAAGACTCCTCTCCTTGCCTCTGCTCTGGGTCCTGCCTTCATTCATTCTCCAGTCTGAGATTTCCTTTACCTCTTGTCACCTTATTAACGCTTTCTGGTTTTTTTCAAGGAAGACTAGCCCTGAGCTAACATCTGCCAATCCTCCTCTTTTTTCTGAGTAAGATTGGCCCTGAGCAAACATCCGTGCCCATCTTCCTCTACTTTATATATGGGACACCTACCACAGCATGGCTTGCCACGTGGTGGCACGTCCGCACCCAGGATCCGAACTGGCGAACTCCGGGCCGCCAAAGCAGAATGTGCACACTTAACCACTGCGCCACTGGGCCAGCCCCTATTAATGCTTTTAAGAAGGTGTTATTTTAAAAGATATTTTATACAGATTTTTTTTATTATAAAGGGAAGTTTTCGGGAGAAGGTTTCATTAGCTCCTTAGTTAGAAATAGAAATATCAAGTATTTTAAAATGGACTACTGATAATCTTAGCAAACAAATATTTTACAATCTTTATAAATGTGTCTCTTCCTTTGCTGTTTATCTATTTTGTTCTTATTTCATGATAAAATCGTTTAAGGGCAGGTTGGTAACATATTCACATTTTGAATCTATTACCTGATAGCACCTAACACCACTCTTCTATGTTCCCTGGATATTTAACGAGTGAACTAAGAAATGTATTCCTAACTTAATCCTCCTGTCTTCAAAAAATTTATAAAATTTAGTAGAGTAACAAATACTAAACAAAAGCAAATCAAAACAAACATAAAATAGCTACCACTTTACCCTGGATATGAAAATTAGGAAAATGACAAAATCCATGAGGAAAAAACCCAGAAATCTGAAGTAAGGGCCTTTGCACAGGTATCTAATCAAAAGACACACCAAAAGTCTTTTAGGGGGCCATCCAAGTAACCTCAAGAGCTTTCAACCTGAAAGACCAAAACACAAATACAAACACTGCTTTAGGAAAGTACATCCGATTTACAACAGTAAGGCCTTGAATCAGTTTGAGTGGTGGCTAGAAAAAGAGAGGAGGGATAACTGCCAGAAGAACTATAAAAGGGAGAGTCAACAGGATTTGCTGATTTATTGGATACGGATTACAAGAGAGAAGGGAGAGTCACAGAAATGAAGATACTACTGACAGAAATAGGAAAATCAAAAGAGGGACCTAGTTTTGGGGCTGGCCCCGTGGCCGAGTGGTTAAGTTCGCGCTCTCCGCTGCAGGCGGCCCAGTGTTTCGTTGGTTCGAATCCTGGGCACTGACATGGCACTGCTCATCAGGCCACGCTGAGGCAGCGTTCCACATGCCACAACTAGAAGGACCCACAACAAAAAAAGAATATACAACTATGTACTGGGGGGCTTTGGGGAGAAAACAGAAAAACATAAAATCTTTAAAAAAAAAAAAAGAGGGACCTAGTTTTAAGAAATTACTAGTTCTTGTGGCCAGCCCGGTGGCACAGCAGTTAAGTGTGCACATTCTGCTTTGGCGGCCCGGGGTTCACCAGTTCGGATCCTGGGTGCGGATATGGCACCGCTTGGCAAGCCGTGCTGTGGTAGGCGTCCCACACATAAAGTGGAGGAAGATGGGCACGGATGTTAGCTCAGGGCCCGTCTTCCTCAGCAAAAAGAGGAGGATTGGCAGCAGTTAGCTCTGGGCTAATCTTCCTCAAAAAAGAAAAGAAAAAAGAAATTACTAGCTCAATCTTGGATGTAGTGAATTTCAGATGATGATGATGAATTAACCATTCTCTCATCTGCGTTTTAATGGTATGCATCCTGTGTACAAAATTCTATTACACAGCAATCACTGTACTGTATTTAATTGTTAATGAGTTTGTCTTCCTTATGAGACTATGGATACCTCAAGGGCAGGAACCTAACAATTAATTAATTAATTAATGACTAAATAGGCGAAAAAAATCTTTAGGCAGTTGGCAATACCATACTGTAGCCCAGAAAACAGATCACAGCTAGAGATAAAAATGGCAAGCAAAGTCACATAAATCATTTTCAGCCTAAGTTCCTGGGCACTTTTGGCTCTCTCTGTTGTGAACACTCCCATAGTCAGCACCCAGATTCCTTAATAATCTATCAGCATCTACATTTCAGGTTACATACCCAAAACATAGATGGTTTATTCATTTTCTGGGCTATGTCTCTCCTGTAAAAGGTCAATAAATGTCTACTTTTTAATTTGGCTAACACAAACATCCACGGAGTTGAGCTGAAGTACTTAATCTCACAGACATGGTCAGAATGAGATAGTCAGGTAAACCTGGTCAAGACTCGGTCCCCCAACCATGTGCAACTTACGGGAATAACAGACAGGGACATACATAAACACAGAAGCAGGTATCATGCTTTATAAGTACAAACAATTGTGTTTGGGTTGGCCTACCAATCCGGTCACCAAATGACCATTTCCAAAATGCTAATTCACCCTCAAAGGATAACAATAGTAAAAAAAAAAAAAAAAAAAAAAAAAAAAAAATTGCAATGCCAGTTCCAAAGTCAATTTCCAGAGAGAAGTCCAGAAATGGTGGCTGAGGGGCACAGCAGCATCACTGAAATCAGTGTACAGCATCTCTTAAGGGGGTACATGGCATTGTTAGACAGGATTATTTTAAAAAGAAAGAAAGAAGAACGACTAAAATACATTTTCAGTGGTACATCTTGAGCTAATGAAATTCCAAAGACTGAAAGCCACTTACTCTGGTTTTCATATTCAAAAACATGTTATTCACCTAATCAGAGTTAATAGAAATCTTTCCCCTGATATAACAATCAAGCTAACTCTCACACCTATACACAAATATATAGGTTAAACAAAGGGTCTAATGGATAACACACCATAGCAAATTCAGGGCGCATAATTTCAAGGAGAACAAGAGAAAAATAGCTAACAAGGAGAGAAAAAAATAGAAATGTCTCTGCACCTTAATTAGTCATGCTTCATTTAACACCAGGCACGCATTCTGAGAAATGCATCACTAGGCAATTTTGTCGTTGTGCAAACACCACAGAGTGTACTTAACACAAACCTAGATAGTACTACACACCTAGGTTATACGGTATTAATCTTATGGGACCACTGTTGTCTACTCGGTCAGTCCTTGATCAGAAGCGTCATTAGGAGGTACACGACTGTCGAGATCTAACATCTCTACCCCCAGCCGGTCTCTATGTGACTTTCAGAACACCACATTCTCTTAGTTTTCTCCTACTCTACTGCCCCTTCCTTAGTCTCCTTTGCTGGTGCTATCTCATTTCCTCAACCTCTTAATGTTGGTGTGCTCCAAGGCTCAGTCTTCGAGACTCTTCTCTCAGTCTACACTTATTTCCTTGGTGAGCTCATCTGGTCTCATGACTACTCTGGGCATTTCAAATTTAACTAGTTCAAAACCAAAACCAAACTCCTAATCTCTCCCCCTAAACTTGCTCCTTTACAGTCTTCACCGTCTCAGTAAATGAGAACATCATCCTTCTAGATGCTCAAGCCAAAAACTCTTGGGAGTCAACCAACCCTCATTCTGTTACACTCCATATCCAATCCACCATCAAACCCTGCTGGCTCTAGCTTACAAAAATATACCAGGTTAATGATCCCTTCTCACCACCTCCACCGCTACCGTCCTGGGCCAGGCCACCTCATCTCTTGCCTGAGACGATGTAATAGCCCCCTGACAGTTCCTCTGCTTCCACCCTTGATCCCTTATAGTCTGCTCTCAACAGAGCAGCCAGGGTGATCGTGTTTAAAATGTCAACGAGCAAGTTGCTGCATGGTCAAAAACCCCAATAGCCAGCTAGCTCTCCTTCCCACTCACAGCTCAAGCCTCACACAATCTGTTCCCCTGAAAGCTATCTGCCTCTTTGTTCCCTCCACTCCAGATACACAGGCCTCCACGCCCATCCTAGAGCCTGTCAAGCAAGATTCCATCTCAGCACCTTTACACTGGCTGAAAGGCTCTTCCGTTTAACTGAATGAACCAAGAATCCTGAATCAGGCACTTCCACGAACTATTGTGACACCTAATTCTCATAACAACCCTGCGAGGTAGGTACGGGCAGCGCCACCTTAGACTAGGAGAGTGAGGTTTCCAGGCCACCTATCCAACAAATGATGCAGTTGGGGTTCAGGCCCGGTGAGTCTGCACAGCACACGAGCTCCCGGTGAAGTTTTGGGGGTTAGCAGCAGGACTCAGCGATATTCCTCTGAAGGCGCCCGTTGACAGTCAGAGCAGGATACGAACAAAGGGCCGTGAGAGAAGAGGAGAAGCAGAAACGGAGAGACCCACGCGAGCGGGGTCGAATGGGACCGAGACCCAGAAGCCCAAGAAGCACGCACACACCGCACAGCACGCCACCCCTAGGGGAGACAGCAGCTCTGATTTCGATTAAAAAGTAACACCGGCCCGAGACCTAGCAGGTCCTGCCGCTCACCGGCAGCAGGTGTGCGAAACAGGCTGCAGTGAGCACGTGACGAAGCCAAACAGCGTCAACCCAGGTTTTCGTCAGGCCCCACCGAGGCCAAGTCTGTGAGGGCGGGGGCGGGGTATGACCCCGGAGGCGGGGTATTAAACTTCCGGAGGCAAAGAAAACAGTAACCAGCTTCTTCCCGCCTCCCTGTGGGGTGTGTGGGGCCACCGCACTCTATCCCGGAGGTTCTCGAAGAGGCCAGAGCGGCAGCCAGGGGCGGAGGGTGAGTGCCGGCCCTCACCACAGATTCTTCTGGCAACTTCTCGCCTACGCCCCGTTCCTCTCAGTGCCATCGTCACGACAGGAGACCCCAGCCCACAAGATCTCTCTCTTATCCCCCACCCCCAGCCATACCCGGGACCGGCCCCAGAGAAGCCCCACCCCCCGCAGTGGCCAGGGCGTGAAGAGCCCGCCTCACCACGGCTCCGGCCACGGCGTGGACGAGGCTTTCGTAGGACAGCACGGAAGCCATGAGTGCGGCGCCCCGCAGACCTAGCCACAGTTTTCCCGCAGGAGCCACAGCCAGCCCAGTGAGGAAAAAAGCTCTCCACCCTCTGAGGCCCGCCTCCACCAGAGCAACCGCTTCCGGGTCGCAGGTCGCCGGGTCTGCGGGCCCAAGGCAGCTGGGACGGGAAGACGGGAAACCGGGCCAGGGAACGCCCCTTGGCTCTGGTTGGCCCCGGGGGCGTGCGCGGGGCGGGGCCGTGCGGCGCCGGCTCCGCCACGTGGAGCGGTCGCACAGCCTGAAATCCCGCGGTCGCCTCCTGAGTCTCGCGGGACTTCCTTGCACTCCGGGACCCAGCCAGTCGTGGTTCACAACTAACCCATACCACTGGGACGGCAGAAAGTCTACGTGGTCTCCTTTCTCCACTTCCCTCCTTCACCTGACAAGCTGACGACAGGCAAGATGCGGGACTCAGGTTTTCCTGTTTCTCTGCGACTTATCTCGTATTTTCCTTCACTAGTATTTTGAAAGTCACATTTTGGTCAAGAGGAAATAAACGTTGATTGGACAGGGTTCTCCCCTCTGAAAAATCGTGGGGTGTGATAGGGAGAGAACTTGAACTTCAGGAGATTAAAATGATCAGATGTAGGTGGGAACACACTAGGCAACTGGGAAAATCGTTTAACCCTTTTTGGTTTCCTTTGAAAAATGACAGTGTTAATATTAACAACTCCACTTGCTACTTTAAGGATTACAAAAGCTAATTTATGTAGACTCACTTATAAACACTGAAGAAAAGGTTTTTCCATGTTGTAAAGTGAAGAACCAAACTACACAGAACTAGGAAAAGCACATTCACCTCTAACCTAGGTCATATTGTGAGGCGTGTGTCAGGACTCCACTTCTTTATTGGGGCACCATGATCATGTGTCTCTGCCAGCAAGTACCAGCAAATTTACTTTTATAATATCCTCGCTGATAATTCTTGAGTGCTTACTATATGCCTGGATCAGTGCTATATGCCCATTATGAAATTTACTCCCCAGGAGAGGGCCCGAACAATGTTTACTTGGTCGTGTTTTCACAAAATTTGCAGAAAAAATTTTAAGCGCCATTAAGATCTCTTTCCACATGAACTCTTCATGTAAGGTGATGCTAGCGACTGCAAGCTAACTGAAAGGTGAGTTGGGGGGACAGTTGGATTTAGTGCTATCTATTTATACATATGGTTAAGTTACTGCTAGACATCCTGATGTAAGAATGGCTTCCAGGATACTCCCACCATTCCCTAGGGTCATGACATGAAGGTGCAGAGGTCCAAGAGTCAAAGACAGGATTCTGGCACTGGACAGACAGAGCTGGTCCATTGTAAAATTTAAGCAGAGGACTAAAAGTTTTCATTGACCCTTAATCACACTGGAAGCTCTTTCCTGTCAAGAACATATTGGATTATGTAGCATACAGATTTATGAACACTTTTTGAATATCTTCCCTTTATGATGGTAATAGAACACAATAGAATTTATCAGAATTCCCATTGGTAGGGCACAAACGCATAGCAGAGAGCATGTCCATTTGTGTGAATTCTTTTGCATCCCAGCTATCAAAAAATATTTTGATCAAGATGGTATTTCATTCAACTGAAGAGTTATCATATAATGAATTTGCAGCGAAAAATGTAGCAATTACACAGGTATAGCACTTATTAAATGGAACGATTTGTGTAGTTGTTTATTTCCAATTTTTAAAAATAATTTTATTTGTAATGCTTATTTCCAATTTTTAAAAATTCTAACTTTGCATGTTCTAAACATTCACTTTTACAGCTTAGGATTCATAATTATGTATTACTTTCCTAAAAGAGGGCTCCCTCACTTATATAAAAGCACCAAGTCCCACACAGTCTAAACAGAATATAAAAGATTTAGCATGATTCTGTTTACCCCAAGTCATTTTAATAAGAGTTAAAGGAACCTAGCCAGAACTAATCATTTCATGTATGTTGCTTCTACACTGGCATATTTACGGTCAGCTTACTTAAACTGCCACCTGAAAATGTCCCAGTGACCCGGGTGAGTGAACTAAAGGACATCTTGATTGCATACCAGATACCTAGATTTCCAGAGCACCATACATGTGTTTGTACCACTCCTATTTACCTCCTTGCTATTCTGGCTCCACCTAATACTTAGAATCCACAATTTTAAAATCAGTATTTCACCTAAAGAGAATGTCAGAATTTTTAGTTTGTTAGACAACTTTATAGAAAATTGTGAATTTACACTCCCTCCAGCACTACACACAAGATCTTCCTGAATAATTGCCAAGATATTTAAAATTTGTGCCAACTTGACATGGCATACTGTTTAAGTTTGCCCTCTTTAAAGTTTAACAGCTATTGTTAATTATCTGTATTTGTTGCCTATTTAGGGTATTTTCCTCCCCAAACTATATGAACTCTATTTAAAGTATACTATATTGGTTGTAAATATTGGTACATATTGAACTTTTAAAATTACCGCACCATATTTTTTAAAACTAGTTTTTTCTCATCCCTGTCACAAGTGGACCAAGCACTTCCATTATGCTAGGTCCCATTATCAGGAGAAACCCATTGGAGGCGCACATCAACACACCAAGTGGTGTGTGATAGTCCTTATTTAACCAATTCCCCTCAAGTATACATTTTAGTTGTTTTCAATTTCTTAAATTAACTAACAATTCTGCAAGAGGCAACCTTGTACACAGAGAGGGGGAGCAGGGCATAGAATTTAGGAGGAAGACTTTTGAAGCCCCAAGCCTGGTGACAATCCCAGCTCCAGATATAATCAGGGGTGTTATCCTGGGCAATTTACTTACAGTGCTTCAGTTTCCTCATCTATATAAAATGGGGATAAGAGTACTTACCATTATGGTCATTATCAGAATCATCAGTCAATACTTGCAAACTGATTAAAGTGCTTGACACAGACTGAGTACTCCTTACCTGATTTATGTGCCTACTTGTGTGCATTAATTTTAGAGATTAGCAAATCTTTAAAAAATTTAAGTGTTTCTCCCTTATCCCCTTAGGCCAGTATTTCCTATTGTGACAGACGGCTAGTTGTTACCTCAGGTCATGTTCCCATTTCTTTCATAGTAGTAATTTTTTTGTTGGGCACGTGACCACACAGCTATGGGCTATTATTTTCTAGCTTTTCTTCCAGCTAAATATGGTCAAGACAAAAAAAAGCTGACTAATGGGATATGAACAGAAGTAATAAAACATTAAATCCATGTATTAGCCTCAGGATCTCAGCATATGCTTCCCTGGCGCCCTCTCCTGTTTCCTCAGGCTAGATGATGAGCACCACAGCAAGCACCTTTGGACCCAGAAACGGAAGCTACCTTTTGAGTACGGCAGAACTGCTTACTTCTGGACTGCTATCTGAAAGAAAAGTAAAGCTGTTTTACATAAGCTAATGTATTTTTAGGGGTGCTTGTTAATAGCACTTTATAATCTTAAGCATACTATGCTCAGTAAATAACATGAATGCTAGAGACATAAAATAGAACATGTGCTGAAAAAAAAGGGGGCAGAAAATGGGAAGAGGAAATATCCAGTTTGACCGTAAGTATATTTTTAACATGGCTAGAAATATCCAATAACTATATATTTTTGAGCAGGGGGGAAAGCCTCCTTTACTTTCCCTTCTTATAGCATTATTAGCACAAGAAAAGAACATTTCTGGTTTAGAAATGATATTGAGTTTCTATGAAAATGAAGAATGTATTTTGTATTTGTGGAACTTAAAAAGTCTAAAAGCACAGGACACATTTTCCAAAGACCAATTTTACTTTTACCCACTTCCAGTAATATTTGCGATGTCAGAATGTACTTAGGTAACGTATAGTTCAGTAAATCAAATGAATCCAGAAGCAACTGGTCTTCTTGAGTTATTCACAGCACACATTAGAAATTTTGAGAAAGGAGAACACACATTAACAAAAAGAACACTGGCAAGCTCAAACGCAAGTTTATATGCTGAGTATTTTTAAAGGGTTTAAAAAGCATGCTCAATTAGCATACAGCTTTTTCTCACTTATATAACAGATGCATTTCTATCTGCTTGTGGTACAGCAAAGGGTCAGAACCTGAATCAACTTACTTATGATTTCAGAAATGTGCTATTTCAGAAATGTGTATTCCATGGAATTTATTTCACTGCTCCTACCACTGATTCTTGAAATAAGCAAAGTAGAGAGCGTCTCATCCCTTGCAGTTGCTTTTAAACACTAGCACTTTAAATTCAAAGATAGGTAGAAACCTAGCAATTCCTGGTAGAGTGCCTGGACCGTCTTATTTAACATATGAATTGAATGTACAACAGAAAATGTATCATTTTCTTTATCCTTGGAGGAGAGGGAAAGAGAGAAAGTAAAGGTGAGGCTATGGTTGCAGTATTGAAGAGCTGAACTGGAGAACAGTGAATCTTTCATAATGCCAACAACTCCACAATGAACAACCACCATGGATCTCATCAATTTTATAATTCATGGTGGATCAAGAAGTTAGGTTCCCCTCTATGTATATCAATTAATTCGAACCTCATACTCTCCAAAATAGAAAGATGCATACTAGAAGATAAACTCTAACTGCAATAGTATTGCCTAAGTAGAAGACCAAACACCCAAGGGAATCCCTCCTTCCAACATCTTTTGATATGGTAAGATTTCACTGAAGTGGAAATCTAACACTCCAATGTGAAATCTCTTGGCCAAGTAAGAAACTACAGCTGTTACGGATATTATGCTACATAGTCACTCTATGTATTACATATTAAATTAAACCCAGCATTAAATATGCTTGCACAATTATGCTGTGAATGATAGCAGTAATGATGCTAGTGAAAAAGGACGATCTTTAGCCCAAGAAGAGTAAGGAGAAAAAAATGTGAAAACAAGTAGAAAGCAGACAAAGAGTTGGGCATTTTCTGATAAGGAAAAGTCATTTTAAACCTAGAAATATAAAAAGAAAAGTCTCCCCTTATTTCCCCTATGTGGAAATAATATGAAACATTTATTTTATATATCAGACAAGAACAGAACTAAGAAACCCAACTCTACTGCAGCATTATAAAATCATCCCTTCACCACAGTGTGAGATCTAAACACATTGACACAAGGGTACATGCTACATAAAATGTAGTAAGACTGTGGATGCCCTGCCAAGTACTTCCAGTCCCTACCCAGGTTCTACTGCAATACTGGTGGTCCCAATAGTTTTATTGAAATAAATCATTTTTGAAAAAATAAAGCATTTAAAAGGACAAATCAAAATGCCTCAGCAACCGTATATACCCAACTCAGACTTTATCTACTCAAATGTTGTATTTGCCTCCTGCTAATAAACCTTTATTTCATTCAAACTGAGTAATAACTCTTCCATACCGAAGTATCTTTCTCGCCCAATTAATTCAAAGGAAAAAACTGAAATGATTAATAAAGAAAAATGGAGGGATTTAACATACCCTTTTAATTTGTTTTTAAATATTTTTAAGGTTTAAAAAGTGTTTAAAGTTTGTCATTCCTAGTAGGAAAACATTATCTGAATGAATACCCTAATGGCAAACCACTGTAAAATCTTTCAGCTGCATTTGGGGCAGAGGGGTAGGGATTATCTTCCAAGCACCCCAGCTTTCTTCACGAGAAGGTCAGAGGTACACTGGTTTGGATTATTGCGACATCCATTAGGTGATCTAAGTTGCTTTTCCTTCAGCAAGGGCTTTATGTGTCAGAAGGGCATTATGCTTGACCTCCAAATTTGGCTGATAATTTACTGATGAGATTCATAACCTTTGGGTTGCTCTGATATTTTGACATATTTGCTGGGTTCTGGGCCACATCCTGGAAGGCTGCCATAACTTCTGGATCCTGCAAATGCAAGTTATTTTTTTTTAGTATTTAAAAAAGTGTTCTATGGGCCAACAAGTTTATTATCCCAAATCCTATCTCTATTTAGATCTATAATTTTGTCATGGCCAAGTTAACAGGGGTTTGGACAAGTTCCTGAAGTATAAATATTATTAATGTGTACTTCAAAGTCAAACTCAATTATATCACTTTAACAAGATAATGAAAAAAGAATATACAATTTTGATAGAAAAGGACAAATGGCAATAATTACCAACTATTACACAGTATTTCCTATAAACCAATTTTTAAAAACTTAAGCTACTCACTCTAAGAAAATGAGCATTGCAACTGCACAATTAGCTATTTGGTAATTTAGATCAGTAACACCTGCCTAACAGAGTAACCTTTGTTTCCACACAGAATTATCAAAGAAATGCCTTAGTGACATGAAGTCCAACTACGTTCTTCTGAGTCTTACCTGCATGGCTGCAAGAACCTCTGGATCACTAAGAATTTCATTGAGCCCAGGCATCCCTGCCATTCCAGGCATGCCCCCTCCCATTCCAGGCATTCCTCCAGGAAAAGTACCAGGCATTCCCCCAGGAAAGCCACCTGCAAGAATAAATGAAAGAACTGTATAGACACCAACCATATTCACAAGTAGTCTGATAGTGTACTATTTCTTTCCAGATTAAAATAACACACACTCCCATGAGCATGCACAAAGAACAAGGGTGTTACTAAACACAAAGCAGTCTGACCATTCTAACTGGATGTAACAAGACAATTTTTACCTTCAAATTTTCTCTTAAAAAATAAGGCTAGAAATCAGACTTTGCTACTTTCTGGATTCATTTTTTTCCTACGGATAAAACTGTTAAAAAAGAAAACTAATCTTACCTTAAAACAAAGAGACAGCTAACTGTCCCTTGGAATTACAAAATTAAAAAGTCTAACAAATCATCTTGGTTATGTTATATCTTATCTTCTCATTCTTTAATATTGTCTGTTTCAACTAAGTTAATTCATGTTTTTCTTTTTTTTTAAACTATACTCCTCTAGTGCAGTTATTCCTTCAAGAACTCTATGAAATGCTTGTTATAAAAAGCCGTGAATTTTTATCTCCACCCCACAGAGAATAAAAATATCTGAGGGTGAAACTGAAAATCTGCATTTTTAACAAGCACTCCCTGGTGTTTCTTCTTTACATTGAGAACAACGCTCTGTAGAGCGAAAAGGATTTAATTCTCCCAGTATCATTTTGGATTATAAACCTGAATTATTTTCTACTCAGTTTTCCACTACCATAAACCTTTATGTCCATAGGAAATATTCTGAAATCACAATTTTGCCAATATAGGGACATCCTAAAGGGAAATACAGGTAACATTACTGTATTCTCCAGATCAAGAGTCTCTACAAGTACAGCCCTCATAAAAAAGAACCACAGATAACAGTCACTTCCACCTGGCTCAACAATTCAAACATGCTGATAAATAACTAACAATCACAGATAAGGAAATCTAAGGGGGCCTGAAAACAACTGGCTTCTCTAGCAGCCCCGACTGACTCTGAAAACCTAGTTTCTACCCAAGAAAAAATTACTGGCCCAGGGCAACAACAGTTAACCAGTTAACCAGTCAAATCTAGGTAATAAAATCCATAAAACAAAATATTATCTCTAGTTCTAGTCCACATTAGTGGTCATTTTCTAAAACAAAGGTACCTGACATAAGATTATTTATTTTTTAAACAGGAAGTAAGCTATGAACTAGAATTTATTTTCTTGCTTTTTCTTCAAACAGCAAGTCATCCCCAATATTTTTTCTTTTTAGTTGCTTGGCCCTTGCTTGACCTTGAAGAGTAAGAGGCTACCTTTACCTTTTCTAGCCACTGCCCATAGAACTAAAGTTCTAGCCAGTGGCATAAGCGAAGCAGTGTGTACCTGTGTCTATAAACCTTCCTTAAGAGAAAGCTGGTTACTACTAAATAGCTGGAGGCTGCTAATTCCCCACTGGGATTACAAACTTTTAAAAAGCTCCTCCTGAAATTCATATAAATTTCACACTGCCTCATTCAGGAAATATTCAAAAATTAGTCTGAGTGCCTTTCTAACTGCCCTTCTACCTGTATCGTATTAGGCCTCTGCTATCATTCCAGGCTTTGCCTCACTAATAATTTCTGATCATTTAACATTTGCAAGAAAAGGGAAGAGTGTATATTATTTTTACACTGGACTCAAAACATTTGTTGTGCTTAATAACCGCCTACAGTGCTTTTACCTACTATCTCATGAATATCAATTTATAACAGAGTAAAATGATTATGGCAATTTAGAAATACTTAGAATACATCATAATCAATACTTACAGTCTTTTAATAAAGTACAATGCTCAGGCCTCAATGAATGTCAGCTAATTTGAGAAAGCATACTGCTCAAAGTGTGAGGAAAATAATATACTGTATTTCCACTAACATAAAAATTTTAATGAGAATGAAACTTTCTAGAGGCTAACATTCTTAAGATTCTTCAGTGTTCTAGGGACTAATGGTGCCAAATATAATAGACATATCTGAGACTCCAAATAAGAATATTCTCCAATTATTAACAATACTAATAGTTTTAATTTTTCTTTAAAAATACCTTGAAAAGAGCCATACTGAGCTCCTGATTGTCGTCTGGCTTCTTCCTCCTTTGATACAAAAAAGAAATAAATTACATAAGTGGAGCGGGGACAGTCTGCTGTCCACCCCTACCCATGAACAATGATGAAAAAATTACAAAAGAAGTTAGCAGAGGACTTACAAGAATGGCAAGTTTCAAATGGCAATACTGGACTAAAGGACACAGGCCATCCCACCCCACCCTCAAACAATCTCCAACTGGATTCTCAGTGAGCATTACTTTCGATAATAGTTTCAAGAGCCATTTTATTTCTACTTTGAGGAGGAAAAAAAACCTGGAAAGCCATTTACAGTCTGTCCATGCTTATAAAAACTGTAAATTCTTACTGCTTTTAAAACTCTCTAATGAAAGCACATGCTTAGATTACTAAGACTGTCAGGACTTTTGCTTCCAAGGTTCATCTTTTCCATAATCTCCCTACATGACTCAACAACAAATACAACTGGAGATTTACTGATTTGTTTTGTTGTTAAAGACAAAATTGAAGAAAATACACATAAATTCTCTCATAACCAGTTATAACAAGGACATAAATAAATGTAAAAATTACTTTTGAAGATTATAAACTATAATCCTAAAAATCAAGCATGATGCTTAAAAATATTAAATGACAAAAAATAAGGCTATAATATTATATAATTATAATACAACTGTATGTCCTTTAATTCAACAGTGTTGGAAATAAGTAGATGAAAACTGATAGCAATGCAAAAAGCTAATACAGAAAAAAACTAAGAGAAACCTTAAGAACAGCAGCAACAATACTGTGAATGAATTATGGGTAACTTTTACCCTAATTTTTATATGACTTTGTAACGAAAAATAAAAACAGCTAGAGTCAATTTTAAATAGCTATGAATGCACTGCTGGAACAGCAGGAATCATAAAACTTAATAAATCAAGGCAAGCACCCGCAAGAAAACAAACAATGCTGCAAAGTTTTACTTACTTGACTGGGAAAAATTCCTGATTTTAGAAGGACATAAGAATATAAATTGGTGAAATAGAAGCTCACTTAAGAATTTAAAGACTAAACATAGCCTCACAAATTCGGGATAATGAAGGGAAAGAAAACTCCCTTTTAGTAGCATCATTAGCCTAACAGAACTGCAGCCAGCATTAAGAAAGAGCCAGGAATTAGAAAGACATCCTAAAAACTCTAATCTACTATATTTTCCCCCTTAATGGTTTAGCTACGGAAACTTTACCCTCTGGGCTCTCTCATGTTCTTCCCGAGCCTTCTTCACCCTTTCCATTCTTTCTTTGATCTCTCGCTCTTCACGTTTTCGCTCATACTTTCTCCGATGTTCTGCAATTTTCTGAGCCTAGGAAAAAAGAGCCACAGAAAAATAAAAGCTAAATAAGGTGAACACAAATCAACAGCTTTGTTAAAGAATTACTTTTCTTTGTGGAGAGGTGTTCAATTCAACATAGTTCTGAATAATGACAGTTAGATTTACCTTATAGAAAAGGACCTGACACAACTCAGGCTTTAACCAGTCCACTGTGAAACAGAGGAAAGAGGCTGGGATTTGAAGTTAGAAGTGTTATAAATCTCAAACAATTAACTAGTGCAAGGATGACAATCAAGTTTCAAATTGCATCACAATTCTTGCCTAATACCTGCCATGGGAAGGCAGAGATCTGGAACGCATATATCACTTATTTGCCACAGTCTACCGTAAAATAAGGGCAGAGGGGAAGAGAAATATGTAAGCCTTACAGAGCTGCTATAAGGATTAAGAAAGAAAGTATATGTACCAGGTATTGGTACATAGTCCGTGCCAAATATTTGGAATCTATTATTTATTCAGAGAATAAACTACAGAGACTCAGATTCAACTTTTACCTTAGCTTGTTTATGATTATTTTTAGAATTTTTTCTAGAATATCTCACATAATAACCTTGCTGAGTTAGCCCTATTATGAAAAAAAAAAAAAAGAAATCAAATAGTCTCTGATGGTAGATAAGTGAAATTCAATAAAATTTCTGCTATCATAAAATCTTTGAGAATAAATTCCTGGTAGTATAATTTGCCACACAGCTGAGGGATTTACCATGCAAATGCATGAAAATCATTTTAACTAACAATTTTAGACAGAAATTATCTTAATAGAATATTCCAGCTTTTGGATTCAATATTAACATTTTAAAAAGGTTGAAACTTTTTAGTTCCACGGAGCCCTCATGCTTTATTCAGTGGCTTTATACACCTATAAAATATAAGGATAGACCAGACTCAATCTTGGGTCACATTTTATAGATTTTCTATTTCTTTCCTTGCTGTAAACTTGCTGCCCCCTTTTCCGTTTCTAACTTTCTGGTTATAATTCTACTCTAAGCTTACAAACAAAGTAATAGAGCTTGCTATACTACACCATGAGAAATGAAAGCATGAAAACCTAATAAGATTTCCTGAGTTGAGCACAAACTTCATGGATTACAGATTACAACTTCCAAATGTCTGCTTCTGTATATCTGTTTTGAAGGTAAGTCACTGCTGGGCCTAAGACTAGAGCCATGGAGTATTACAGTAATGACTTTCCCTTTCTCTACTTTAACATACCCTCGGTTGAACTTCCTTCAGCATTGCGCTAGCATCTTCATCATAATCCAGTTTACAGGCAAGAGCAAGATCATGGGCTGCTTCTTCCCAGTGGCCCAGAAGTCTAAAAAAGATTTAAATTCATTTTAGGAGCCTTTTATATATATTCACTTCTGTGGCATAGTGTCTTTCTTCCCTATTATAGAAAAGGATTGTTACAGAAGAGCTTTAAGCTAAATACTGAACTATAAATTTTCAGGAACTAATTCAATTTCTATGTTATATTCTATAAAAGTTTGAAGAAATTTAAATTTCCTTTATAACTCTAAATCTGTTCTACTAAAAAATGTTTAAAAACTTTAAAAAAGTAGCTTTCTTAACTCAGAATATCATGAAATAAAAAAAAAACTATGTGAAGCCACAACTTTCAACTCATCAAAAATAGGATTAACATGGGGCTGGCCCCGTGGCCGAGTGGTTAAGTTCGTGCGCTCCGCTGCAGGCGGCCCAGTGTTTCGTTGGTTCGAATCCTGGGCGCGGACATGGCACTGCTCATCAACCCACGCTGAGGCAGCGTCCCACATGCCACAACTGGAGGGACCCACAACGAAGAATGTACAACTATGTACCGGGGGCTTTGGGGAGAAAAAGGAAAAAGAACCAAAAAAATCTTTAAAAAAAAGGATTAACATGATGATGGGGCTGGCCCGGTGGCACAGCGTTTAAGTGTGCACGTTCCACTTCTGCGGCCCAGGGTTTGCTGGTTCGGATCCCAGGTGAAGACATGGCACCGCTTTGAAAACCATGCTGTGGCAGGCATCCCACATATAAAGTAGAGGAAGACAGGCACGGATGTTAGCTCAGGGCCAATCTTCCTCAGCAAAAAGAGGAGGATTGGCAGCAGCTGTTAGCTCAGGGCTAATCTTCCTCCAAAAGAAAAAAAAAATGTATATTTAACATGCTACCTTCTATAAGATAGAAGATAAAACAATAGATGTGTGCACATTTTATTGAAAATGGAAAGAAAGGCTAAATTAAAAATTAAAGGTTGGTCGGGGTAGGTGAGAATTGAGTAGAGGGGGTAGCAATGGAAATGAGACTTCTCTGGGTATATTTGTTAACTTGGTTTTGGCTCTTTAAACCTGCAAACATTTCACATACTCAAAGAAGAAAATTAAATCAGAAAGGATGGAAATAAAGCAAACTCTAAACCTCAATACAAAAAGAAATAAAAAGAGGCTAATTGTTTTTCACATTGACAACATAAACCATACAGAAAAAATTAATTCAAGTAACTTTTAAAACAGTATTGTGACTGTATATCTTAAATGGAATATATCCTAAGGATAAGAACTGCAAAAAGAACTTTAAACTTTACTTAGAAGGTATATCATTTTTAAGGCATGATTCTAAAACAATTTTATGTGTATCGAAGGAGAATGCAAGGATAATGCAAGTAAGTAAATAGGGACAAAAATTTTGAGTCTAGGAGAATAGGGTTAAAAATACTTAATGTTGAATCCTAATGGAACATATCAGTATAAACTCAAAATTTTGTAACTTTTTTCCTTAAAACCATTATTTTTAACATGTTTTTTCTAACTCTGTCATTGAAATGAACAGAGTAATGCTATCTAGGAAGAAATGAACACACCTACTGGCCAAACTTTAGTTTCTATAAATATAATCCCCACTAAAATGAACCATGAATTCTTCCATATTGAGCACGTATTACTTTAAAATTAAATCTTTAGGCAATTTTGGGGATTTTTTAGAAAGCATAACAAAACATCAGATTTAAATTTAAAGAGTTCTGAAAATAATTAAACTCCACTATTTACCTGTGCGCTTTCCCTCGCCATTTGTAAGGCTGAGCTGAATCAGGATTTATTTCAATAGCTCTGTCACAGTCTCGGATGGCAGCATTTGGCTTCTGTAATTTGACGAAGACACTAAAAAATAAGTATGATATTAAGAAGTATTCATTTCAAACAATAACACCTTCGGGATCGCCACAGAAGCAATTCTATTTAAATAAATGAGCAGAAATTATTCACTAGGGGATGCTTTTTTGTTTAGAGTTCTCACCTGGCTCTCTTGGCATACAGAATGGCCAAGCGGGGATTCAGCTTGATGGCATCTGTGAACAAGTCAATGGCTTTCTGTAGTTCACCTAAAGTAAATCAAAAGTTATTGAAAAATAGGAGGATAAAAAATATTAATAAAAACTGTTGCTCTTTTATCCAAATAGTCTTTCACATTTTTCATTTAGTCCAGGAAAAAAAGACTAGTTTCTAAATACACAAAACTGGCTCTTCAAAGCAAACTTTGCCACACTTACACTGTAAATCACTCAAGACAGAGACAATTTTTGGTACACAACCCCTTAAAAACCAGTAGAATACAACATTCTTAGTAGGACTCATATTGATTTTTTTAATTAAGAAAAAATAAAAGGATAAAATAAATCAATTTTATTCTATTAATGAAACTGTCTTTTATCCATTGAGTTAAAAGGATAAAATTAAACTTATGAAGGAAAATGTATCCATATTAAATCCTTAGCGCTGATTAAAAAAAATTTTACTATTTGAATTCACAGGAAGAGCATAAAAATTCAAGAAAACTTGAATTCATGAACACCACAACCCACATTTTAAATTCATTTATTGTATACTATTCTCATAGCTTCTTTACTAGTCCCTTCACTGAAGTCATTCAACAGATAAAACGTGCTATAGAATTAGAACAGCACTTTGCACAAAGTCTAATTCTTGGACACAGGAAACAGGGAGGCAAGACAAACACAGAATTTTAAAGTAAATGCTACAATTCACTTTGAAAAATATATTTACCCAGCGACTAACTGTGTAAAGGATCTTATGAGAACTCATGAAACAACGCAGAAAAAGGTGCAGTCTTATTAGTCGCTGCTAGGAGTCTAGGAAAATAGTGTATATTACAAGTTATTACACTTGGATCTAACAAGCAACTGACACCTACCATGTTCAAAACTGAACTCTTAACTTTTACTCCATCTCTAAATCTATTCCCCATCTTTATATTCCCAACTAAGTAAATGGCTCCTCCACTCAGTCTAGTTTAGAGGTTGGCCAACTTTTCTGGAAAGGGACATATAATTATTATTTTAGGCTTTGCAGACCATAAGAACCGTAACAATTCACCTCTGTTGTTGTAGTGGGAAAGCAGCCACAGACAATACACAAATGAATAGGTATGACTGTGTTCCATTAAATTTTTATGGAAACAGGAGGCTATAGTTTGGCAACTCCTGATCTACCTGAAGCCCAAAACCTTGGAGTCATTCTTGACTCCTCAGTCTAAAACCTAACACCTTTTATTTCTACTTTCAAAATATATCCAGAATCTAACCACCTCTCACATTACCACCCTAAGCCCCAAGGTTTCCACACTGTGCACCAAGGAGGCCACAGGACCATTGGTTTGTTAGCACCGCACAAACTACTGGTTGAATACAGTTCACAGTTTCAATACTGGATTACTACATTCCGTTTTATGTCTTTGAAAAACTGTTTTTTTAGTAGTTGCTATGATAAAAAGCTAGAATTGCAGAAAAGTAGAGATGTGGAACAGGAAGTGAGAGTGGCAGTGTCCAATCTGATTCCGAGATCTGAGAAGCTGCTTAGTGCTCAACATATCTACACCGCTTCTTAGAAAATAAACATGGTTATTTAAGAATGAAATTAAATATATTTGCTTACAAATTATGTATTATTTTTTCAAACAATCACTAACTTGTTAGGACACATATATTTATTAAATTGTTTGGACCTGACTACACTATAAACGAAACTCTTAGGCATTTCTTTTGGCCTAGGGGTGCTGTGAAAAAGTCAAGATAGTAAGAGCACTGTAAATAGGGGAAGTTTGAGAACCTTTGCCTTAATCCAAGCCACCATCATTAGCCACCTAGACTACAAAATAAGACTCACTTTCTTGCTTTCCCTCTGTGGGATCATGAAAACACACCTTTGATCTGTTGTGGGGAGCATAACTGATTGAGAACTCCATCTTCTGTGCTCAAGGCTATACTTCATAAGCTGCTCCCAGCTAATTACTGAACACAGCAAGGATACCAAGGCAGGGCCATTCTTATGAGACGTGCAGCTCCTGTAATGGCAACTTTGGCTTGCCAAGACTTTTTAAGAAACATATCCACAGCAGAGGACTTCTCCTACAAAGGAGTAAGACCTACATGATCGCCTTCCCAGACTCCTCTGATTCTCCCTGCTTCCCCATTTTCCCTCACAGGTATTTTCCTAATGTATCTCTAGCACATCCACTCATGTTTTGGCTTCTACTTCTCCAGCGAACTAACATACCCTTACTGGCCCCTACAACCTGATCTACATAAAGCAGTAAGAATAATCCTTTTCAAAAGTAAATTCACCTCACTATGAAACTCCCCTTGTCAAAAAAAAACCCTCAATAGCTTCCCATCATCCTTAATGCTAAAATCCTAAGTCCGTCGGCAGGATCTACAAAAGTTCTTTTAGTGATTTATCTATCTATCCTCCTCACCACTTTCCCACTACCCCACCTCCCCATCACCCATCACCCACTCCCAGGCGCTTCTCTGACCTTAATTCTAACACTCTTACCCCTTCACTTACCACACTCCAGCTACACTGGCCTTTCTGCTATTCCTTGAATATGTAATCATCCTACTCACTCTCCCGGTTAGCCCCTCTACTTGTTCTTCCCTGTCTCAAAAGCCCTTCTTCACATGGCTTGCTCCTCTCATGTCGTCAGATGCTTTCCTGACCACCCTGTGTAAAATATAGCTTCCATCACTCACTATCCCTTTACTCAGCTCTACTTTTCTTCATAGCACTTATTACCACCTGACATTCTATTATCAATTTTGTTTTGTTCCCCAGTAATATGAGGTCCATGAGATAAACAACTTGGTCTGTTGTTTCCCATTGTTTATCAGCATCTGAAACATGGTAAACCTTCAACAAATATTTGTTGAATAAATATATTAACTGAAAAGCATAATAAACTCCTCATGACTCTAATAGGTAGGTACCATTATCCTTATTTTACAAAGGAGGAAACAGAGGCAGAGAGAGTAAATTCTCTAAGTTTACCTAGCTAGTAAGTGCCAGAGCTGAGATCCAAACCCAGGTACTCTGGATCCATAAGTCCAGTGTCTAACTATATTCCTGCCTCTCTAACCCCAGGGAGGGCCTGAACCTCCAATCCCTACCTTAGAGTACTAGTGTTTTATCCCTTTAGGATATACTATAAAATTGCGCTTATTCTAAAATTAGAATGAGGTTAAATTTACACATGAACATAGCTTGGAAAGAAATATAAAAAACAAGAACGTGACTTATTAGGTGTTGGCAGTTCATTTTCATTTTGTTAAATATTGCTAAGGCAATAAGTAAGAAAATGAATTTCAAAAAAATACAAGACAATATGCCATAATAAGTGACAAAAATAATGAATTGACAGTACAGCACAGTAAGATCCCAGACAAGCTGAAACCCCTCTGAGCCCTCAGGTTATTCATTAATCTGTAAAATGGTAGTAGTATGAGGTTTTCATGAAATAATGCACATTAAAACATAGTAAAATTGCCAGACATATTGAAGGCACAAAATAAATGCTAGATAAATAGAAATCTTAGGTGGTAGGGGAAAGAAGAAAAGCGTCTGGAAAAGGAATAGTCAGAAAGAGAAGTGACGGAGATCAATTAATGGGTGTGAATTAAAAGTCGAAACAGGTGAAGAAAACCTTTACAGAGAAGCAGCAGAGCACAAGAAAAGGAACATTCCAGGACAGTGAGGCCTGGCTAGAATGGAAGGTTAATATTTAAGAAGAAAAGAACAAGGTTGGGAAGGCAAAATATGGGCTCCAACTCTGGCAAGTCTAATGCTACAATGACGACCTTCAAAACGTACGCAAAGTTGCAGGTTAAAAGCAAGGGAGTGTGTAACAATAAAAAGTACTTCTAAGTAAGAATAATCTAGGGACAGTGAACAGAAAGCAATAAAGGAAACATATCTCAGGTAGGCAAACTACTGAGGCAATTTTAATAGTATAAACATATGATAAGGACCTAAACTAAGAAGGTGGTGGCATTACAAAAAAGTGAAGTGAATGTATTTGCCAACTTGGAACAGTAATGAATACTGAATTCATTCTAAAATAAAACTTCAGTTATCTTCTAAGTCTAGGGATGAAGGCCAAATGCACATCAGCATTACACAACAGCATCTGTTCAACGACGGCACTGTGATATACTACCATACAGCTAGGAGGGGGGTTTACACAGTACCCAAGTTAATAAATGATTTGTTCTTATACATTATAACTGATTAAACATTATACTTAATAGTATCAGCACTCTCCCACTCTTACAGGACTTTCTGAAGAGGCTCTAACATGCAGAGACTAGAACAAGACTGTTATGCCTATGGACATTATTTGTTAAGTGTGTTACTATAAAAAGCTGAGGGCCACTTTTCTAATACCACTTTTTTTGAAAGCCTTTCACCTTTTTAAAAGCCTTTTCTCCATAAAGAAACACCATGATACAGTCAGGAAAGCAGAGTCTTTGAGTCCCATCAGGATCTGTCCATGCCCTGAGCAAGGTAATTAATTCCTCAGTGATTTCAGCATCTATGTCTATCAGTGGGGAAGGGGTGGATACAGAAAATAACACTTTCTTCAGTATAAGATACTCAATAAATTTAAGTTTACTTTCCCACTATTTAACAGTTACTGCAGTAGAGAAGAAAATATTCAGACTACCATAGAAATGTAGCAAAGAGAAAAAAAAATCACTCACCATCATTTAGGGCATCAATGGCAGCCACTTTTTTATCATTTGCCTGATCCATCATCTCCTCGGTTATCTAGGGGGAAATTGAAGGTCAACTTAGAAATAGTCGAGAAAGCAGAAGAGGAGGAAGGAACTTGGACTTTCCTAGGGAAGGGGTAGTCACAACTCCCACTTTCATTCCTTTTCCCCAGTCTCCAAGGAGCAAAGAGGATAATGATGATAACTGATTTGTAAGAAATTATACAGGATGAGCTTTAATCTTTCACACTAAACAATAAATTTCACTCCGTACACTCTGCCTTACACATGACTTTTGCTGCCCTCCATCCTAACCTGAGCAAGTGGTTTTGCCCTTACCAACTCCTTCTTGGTTATTCACAAACACTAAAACTCAATCTCCTCACAAAGGGCTAACTAAAGCTAGTTCCTTTTAGGCTTGATTCTTCAGAAAAGAAACATCTAACTCTTTTGTTTCAACAAACATCTACTGAGTACCTATACTAGACAGAACAATCGCTGTGCAAGACTGCTGAGAGTACGATTAATAGTAACAAAAACTTACAGCAAACATCCTACCTAAAATGGGAAGTTAAGAAGCAGTTTCTTTAACTAAAGGAAAAAAGTCCACTCTATCACCACTACTGTGTAAAATATTACCGGAGGTGCTGGCTAATTCACAAAGAAAATGAGCTGACCGGTTTAAGAATAGGAAGGAAAGTACCAAGCTGTCTTTAATTATATTTTAATTTGCCTAGAAAACCCCATGGAACTGACAAGTTACTGGATCTATCAGGATAATTCAATAAAGTTCTCAGAAACTAACAGCAACATAAAAACAAACCCAGAGTTCCTCCACATCAGCAAAAATCGATTACAAAATATAAAAGAAGAGCACATTATAAGAGCTCATTATAAGAGCACACAAGACTTTTACGGGGGTGGGAAGAGTAAAATTCTATTAAAGGAGACAAGATATATACCATGTTCATGGAAAGATTTTGACTATTTCAAGTATCCCCAAGTTACTCAATAAATTTAAAGTAATTCCAACAAAAATTCCTATAAGTTTTAGGCAAACTTTAAAAACTTTTCAAAAGAACAAAGACAGACAGACTACCAGATAGTAAGATATCCTACAAAGCCAGGGTAACTAAAAAAAAAAAAAAAGAAAAAGATGACTGTTATGGGAATATGGTGCACATGATACCCTGAACAAGTCTAAAAACCACCTTTTAAAAACCATCTTTGACCGGGGCTAGCCCCGTGGCCGAGTGGTTAAGTTCGCGCACTCCGCAGCAGGTGGCCCAGTGTTTCGTTAGTTCGAATCCTGGGCGCGGACATGGCACTGCTCATCAGACCACGCTGAGGCAGCGTCCCACATGCCACAACTAGAAGAACCCACAACGAAGAATACACAACTATGTACTGGGGGGCTTTGGGGAGAAAAAGGAAAAAATAAAATCTTAAAAAAAAAAATAAAAAAATAAAAAAAAAATAACCATCTTTGACCTAAGAATGTAGAAATCCTCAGGGAACAAGATTAAATAATGGCTTGAAATTCAGCGAGGTAGCCAAGTGCTCCATCTGCTTTCACCTTTGTAGCAGGAGTCGAACCTGGTGACCTTGCAATTCTGTTTTTGAAGGTAGTGCAGGACACATGAAACAAAGTCTAGATTCAGGTAAAGAGAATGTATGGTGTCTAATCAGACACCCTTTAAAATAAATCTAGAACTCTAAATGCCTATACCTGCAAGCATAATGGTAAACCAAAAGTAAACCTATTCGAAAGAAAGGGACAATGAGTAGAGAAGAAAAAAAAATCTCCCCTGGAAATTCATAACCACAAATCAGCCTTTCTGCTGGAATTCACATTACTTGTATAGTTAAACAGACCACAACAAGACCATGCTGAGAATTTAAAGTGGTTCTTGAGTTGGTAGCACCAACTCAGTGTCTTGATGGAAGCAAACATATCCCTCTTTGGAGGAACACACCTTCTACCCAGGCCTCAAAAACTTCCCACAGGTGAAGTTTCAAAGAACTCACGGTCAAAATATCCACACATCACAAATACACAAGGTACCTGAAGGAGCAAGAGTCAGGAAAAACAGGAGAAGAATAAGACCGGTAAAGAAATTAATGTGTTTAAGAGAAAAAAGGCAAGTTCTGAAAATGAGTAAGGAGCAAGAGACTTGTAAATAACCAAGAGAAGTTTAAAAAGAATCGAAGTGAAAAGTATCAAAATAAAAATCGTAGGCATTGAATTAAAACATCAATGAAACAGCTGATTATAAAAAGAAAGCATACATAATTCAGCAGAGGGATAGATGGAACTGAACAGTGAAAAAGTCTAATATATGTCTAACTAGGGCTCCAGAATGAGAGTAGAGAGAATGGGGAAGAGGCAATATTTGAAAGATATTAGTTGAAAATGCTCCAGAGCCAAAGAAAATTAACAACCCTACAATTTAAGATGCCAAATAAATCCCAAGTAGGATAAATAAAAAGCATTATAAACCTAGACACATTGAAGTGACACAGCACCATTAATAAAGAGAACACAACTTAAAAAAATTCCTTTTACAGACAATGACGAAAGGTACTTATATGTTCTTAAACACACACAAGATCTTTATGAAGAAAGTGTTAGTAAGTTATTAAAAGACATTAAAAAAAAAAAAGACATAAAAATTAGATAGCACATTCATGGATAGTTAATCTCAACAGTGAGGAGATGTATCTTCTCCCTAACTTGATTTAGATTTAACACAATTCTAATGGGGGGAAAAAATCCTAATTTTTTTTGGGGGGGTGGGGTGGGGCTTGACAATCTGATTTTAAAATTTATGTGGAAGAACAAAGGGCCAAGAACAACCCAGATACTCCTGAAGCACTGGGGGTCCTTCCCCACCAGATAACAAGGCCTAGTATAAAGCTATGTAAGACAATGTGTCATCAGCACACGGAAAAAATTAGACACGTAGAATAAGAGAGCACCAAAACCGACCCACACATATACGGAAACAAGTGTATTTTGGCATTGGTGAGGAAAAAAATTCTTCACTAATGGGACTGACAGGTGGATTAAACGTGAAAGCCAAACAAAATTTTCAGAAGAAAAACAATACATTACAGCAATTATAACCTTGAGGTAATAAAGCATAATATATAAAAGTGATCAATTTTACTGCACTAAAAGATTGTGTTTATTAAGACAACATAAGGAAAGTAAAGACAATCCATAAACTAGGAGGAAATGTGTGGAGTACATATAGATGACACACTGTTCGTATCCAGAACATAAAATGAACTATAAATCAGTAAGAAAAAGACAACCACCAAGAAGAAAAATGGGGAAAGTTAGGAAAGTCATTCACAAATACCTGTGAATGACCAATAAACATTAAAATATGCTCATCTTTATTAGAAATCAGGAAAATGCAAACTAAAAGCCATGAGGACATACCATTTCACACAATAAGACTGGCAAAGATGAAATCTGACAGTATCAAGTGTTGGTGAGGATATGGACCAACCTTTTAAGCTGCTATTACTATATTACACTGTTTCTCAAGCTTTTTTCCATTATCAACCCCCAAAGGGCCTTTTCAGACATTTTTTCTTAATTCTCACCCCCTCCATTTTAATACTACAGATACACTGCATATATGTTAATGTGTTACGACCCTTTGGAGCACTACTAACCATTGCAATATCTAAGTTTTTTTCAGGCCCAAACTCCCAAGAACCATTTTCACCACCTGGAAGGCAATATCGTATCTGTCGTGACAAAACCATTTTGGAAAACAATTTGGCATTAGATATCTCATTAAATAGGCAATTCCCCTTATAGATATAAATGTTAGCTGAACTCTATAGTTTAAAGAGCAGTCAAACCAGATGCAAATTGAAAAAGCAGGTAAACAGAAAATAAGGATATCAGAGAGTGTTAGAGAGTATGATTAAAAATAATGGGAATTTTCGCAAATATTTTAAGCAGTAAAATAAATACTTTCCTAAATGCCTTAAGTCAGAGAAAGATTTAACATGTGCTTTCCAGGAAGAATTATGTCACAAAATCATTGCAGTAGGTGGGACCTTCACATCCCTTACAACAAGCAGAAAATAAGCCATTAAACTTACCTCTACATTTTCATCTCCCATTTCTTGAGGGGCATCAGTGTCTGGTTCAATCACACCTTCATTGTCAATTTCTGCCAAAGAAAATGATATGACTCATGCTGTCCAATACAGTAGATGCTAGCCACATGAGACTATCAAAAACTAATCAGCTATGGGGCCGGCCTGGTGGTGTAGTGGTTAAGTTTGGCACACTTCGCTTGGGCAGCCCAGGTTCGTGGGTTCGGATCCTGGGTGCGGACCTGCATGACTTGTCAAGCCACGCTCCGGTGGCAACTCACATACAATATAGGAGAAGACTGGCACAGACGGTAGCTCAGGGCCAATCTTCCTCAAGCAACAAGGGGAGGATTGGCAACAGGCGTTAGCTCAGAGCTAATCTTCCACACCAGGAAAAAACAAACAACCCACTAATGAACTAAGGCTAGTGCAACCGATGAACTGAATATTTTACTTTATATTAATTTTATTTAAATTGATGCACTGTAAAATATTTCTCCATTAAACAAAACTTTATTGTTTCAGTAAGACTACATCTTGTTTCAACTGCTGCATCAGTAAGATATATACCATCATGTTGTAGTGGGAACGTTGACAAGTGCATAGTTTCTAGATATTACACACAGACACACCACTGATTCAGTCAGCATCAACAAGCTGATCCAGTTCAAATATTTTGTTTTAAATACCAATGTACTATTTTTTAAAAAAAATTTTATGCAGATAGGACTAGTTATACTGATAATTTGATGTAAATCATAATGAAATTTAATTTTAATATAATTATTTTTGTTTCAAAAAAATAATATGGATAAATTTTAATTTTAAAATAAAGGTATATTACTGATGCAGAAATGAGCCCCAAAGCTATCACTATAACCAAAACAGTAAAGAAAGAGACTGGAAAAAGGAATGTTGCAAATTTCATGATGGACAACTGTAATTTACTATAGCAAAGCAAAACAAAATAAGAGTTACACATAAAAAAACTTTTAAAAGGAACAGACAATATTCAGAGACATTTTTAGCATTAAGAGTGAATTTGATGAGTTTCCTCTTAACGGTCAAAAAAGGATGAAATTAAAATCAGCTACCTGAAATCAGAATTAACATCCAACAAAAAAATTTTAATCAATTTTTAACAGGAACTGAGCTGCTAACTTTATATCTAATTATAAAATAAGCTTGATTCACTCACAAAAAAGAAAATGCTTTAAATGGAGATGTGGCGCTAAAAAAAAAAATTATAGTTATGGAATTGCCAGAAAATTGTACGACTAAAAACAATATTTTACAAACAGTGACACATCTTCAATTAAGCCCCCCAAAAACAAGCCCATTCTAACCATATCAAAGATCAACTTATTCAAAATTTGAAAAATTCAAGTACTTTTATTTAGCTTTTAGATAGGTTCTGAGAATTAAGAGATTGCCCAGTTAATAACTGAGGTATGTATTTATAGTCTCAAAGGACTTCCAAATTTACAAAGAGATTTTGTCAATTTGAGGCCTAAAAAACAATACAACCAAACTTGGTAGAGAAATCAATTCTTCTAAAATGAACCAGTTTTATTAACATGGATGCAAGTACTAAAGGAAAATAATATTTTGGTATTCAATTCAGTTCTAAACATATGTTTAGAACAACCTGGGATATGACCTTTTTCAACTATAAATTTCATGATGTTTGAATATGGAGCAAATATTTCCCCAAAAAAATGTAACACCTGCATTGAGTTGCATTATTAGTATAAAATACACTCTGGATTTTGAAGACTTAGTATGAAAAAAGGGAAAATATTTCATTAATAATTTTTCCATATTGCTTACACATCGAAATGTATTTTAGACATATTAGTTTAAATATATAATTTGAGTTAATTTTACCTGTGTATTTTAAAAATGTGACTACTAGAGAACTTTAAGTTTCATATGTAGCTTACATTCTATTTCTATTACATAGGGCTGCTTTAGTCAATTTAGTAAAAATCAACACAGGATCTTATGAAGTCATCAAATACAAACTACCAACTCCTCACCCAGATCACTTTCCTCACTTGATGGTTCATCTGTCTTTACGTTTTCCTCCACCTTCTTACTATCTGTTTTTTCTTCCTAGCAGAGGAAAGGCAAACAATGCTATTAGTATTTAATAACACACCTAATATATATACTAATTTACACAAATTTACACAAACTATTCACATCCATTATATTTCAGTTGTTAATGCTCCCTTTCTTGGTTTGTTTTAGTAAATTAGTTTTAGTTTGCTGTTTTCATTTCTTTTTTTAAATTAAGTATAGGTCCAGTCCCTCATCCAAATCTTTTAGATGATGAGTTTTAGAATTTAAAAACTTTTGGATTCTAGAAAATTAATACAATGCATATACCATATATTATGTAACACCCTCAATAGGCACTGCGGTCCACAACTCTGCATAATCAAACACATTATTTCTGCAAAATAAAGTTTGGCATTTGTAGTAAGTGGGAAAAAGACTGAACAGTCTCATGTCTTTTCAGATCACATTTTATTACCAAACAAATTTACTAAAATGCTTTACATTTTCAAGAGTTTTTGAGTTTTGAAATTGTAAATAAGACACTATGAAACTGTAATACACAAATGATGAAAATTCAAAGAATTTAAATACACACATGACGAAAACCAAATTTCCTGCCCATCCTTTAAGCAACCAGTGTGGTTTCTTGCGTGTCCCATTCTAGATATTCTCTAAGTATATAAGACAACTCTGCACTTTGACTTTTCCATTTAACAATGCTGTGTATCTTAGCGACTATGCCACGATCAGCCCACGTAGATCTATTTATTCAAACTGTCTTAGTATTTCATAAGTTACGTAACCAGTTACTTAGATTGAAAATCGAAATCAAAGCCCTACCTTATTACAAAATATTTGTTGAGTCCCTACCATGTGCAAGGTGCTAGATGCTTTAGTATATTCTGAGTAAGACCAGTCATATTCTAAATCGAATAAAAAGTTATTAGCAGAGATATAGCTTAATATAATTTTGCATGTTTATCTTCATCCATGTTTATCACATGGCAAAATATCCTATCCAGGGCTCACAAACTAGCGAACTCTGAGAGATGAGTCATCTAAAAAAAAAGACTAACTACTTTTGGGGCTTTTGCTTAACTTCTCTCATTTCACTTGTTCAAAGATAAAACTTCTAATTTCATATCCAAAGAGATAAACCTTGTTCAGTGTTCTAAATAATAAAACAGCAAATTTTCTTATCAATTTGAGACAGTTAATTAGAAAACTGTGGAAAAAATCTTTTTAGACATGAAGGCAGAAAATAGGAGAAATACGAATTCTGAAGGGAGCATTCATAAGAGTATAGCCCCCCATCTCTCAACTTCGGCTACCAGTAACCTCCTCCTATCTCCCACACCCTTTCGGCAAATATGCTAAAGCAACACCATGAATCATACTCAAACATTCCTCAGGTAGTGGCAGGGAAGAAAAACTTGAGAATCACTGATTTGGGCTAATTGTTCATTTACTTTGCAGACATTATTAAACAATAAAAGTACCTATAATGCATAAAACACTGTACTAGGTGCCAAAGACACAATGACAAAGACTACAAATGCACACAATTACAGGGCTTCCTATTCATAGGTCATGCATATAACATACACGTAGCATTTATTTTCATTTATTCTAAAATATGGTAAACATTCAACCCCAAATTCTCAGTTTTAAGTCAGATTCCAGAGACTTGATGTCCAAACAGAAATTTTACCAAGATTTTTTTCTAAGTGATCTTGGGGAAATCAGGAGTGGTAATTTGAGTAGCAGTTAAAAAACCCTAAAAAGCCTTATAATAATTTATCACTAAACATATAAATAAAATTCATAACTCACCTTGATATTTTCTTCTGATTTAGTTTTATGAGTAGCAGGTGGTATTTTACCCCCCATGCTTGAGGAAGATGAGAAAAAAGATATTTGTTTAGAAAGCTAAAAATCACTGAGCCAAGCAACATTCATTTATGCTGGAAGAAAAGTCAGACATTTAGATGGTTACCTTGTCAAACACTGAAGAGTAAGCTGAATTCATCTGAATGCTTCAGTATTACTAGTAAGTTTCCTTCAGCTTAAAATTTTATTTATTTTCTTAGCATACTCGTTAATGAAAATCTAACCCTTACCTTGCCTCAATAAGCCTAACAAACAAAATTACACAGCTTCTCTGTGCCCATTCCCAGAGGAAACAGAAAAGAGGCAGAGAAACACGCAACAACAAAATCTTTTGTGTAAGTTGTTTAGTTTAGAATTCAGTAGGTATAGCTGAATTCAAAACTTGAATAGGTCAATTCATTAAAATAGTCTATGAAATAATTATAAAGACACAGTGTAATCATTCAAAATGTTTGTTTCGACTCGGACCTGAGAATTCTTCTTGCTTATATTCATAGACCCTTCATATTATAGATTTTCTTGTTATCCTTCTAAATTTTCTCGTTATCATTCAAAATCCGCCCATTAGTACTTCCTCTTGACCTTGCAAGCCCTTCTTCCCCAAAGATTCCAGGGCAACACCATGAATTACATACAAATAACTTAAAAACGAGAAAAAAAGACTACAAAAATTTAGTGCTATGGGCCCTGCCTGGTAGTGTAGTGGTTAAGTTCGCACTCTCTGCTTCAGTGGCCTGAGGTTTGCAGGTTCGGATCCCTGATGCACACCTACACACTGCTGATCAAGCCATTGTGGCAACGTCCCACATACAAAACAGAGGAAGAATGGCACAGATGTTAGCTTGGGGACAACCTTCCTCAAGCACAAAGAGGAAGACTGGCAAGAGATGTTAGCTCAAGGCCCCTCTTCCTCACACACAAAAAAATAGTGCTATATGCTCCATTTGGGGTAGACAATGAAGCATATGGGCTGCATGCAACTGTCCAGTGACTAAAATGTTCAATGGATTAAGGGCACTCACTCAAGGAAAGTGAAAGCTGTACACAACAAAGACAACTAAAATTCGCCTTAAAAAGTAAAAAAAGCCATTAACTTTTATGTCAAACAAGGAGACCATATTAACCTGGAAAACAGAAAGGAACCTACTTCAAAATACCTTAAGTGTTGATCCTTTTTAACTGCAGTTATCACATTCATATTTACATTCATTTCAGGTGGGTGGAATTTCTCGACATAGGGTTGTGTACATTAGATTTAAATGGATATTGGTTTTCCAAAGTTCTTTTAACAATTTATACCTCTTTTAGCAGTGTATGAGAATTCTAATTGTTCCACGCCTTGGCCAACCCTTAGCTATTGTCTATCTTTCAAATTTTTAGCCATTTTCATAGGTGTGTAGTGGTATCTCACTGTAGTTGAGTCCCTTTTCATATGTTTATTGGCCATCTGAATAGCCTTTTTTGGTAAAGTTCAACCCTCATCCAGCTTTCTATTAGGTTGTCTATCATATTTATTTATAGGTGTACTCTGTAGATTCTGCATCTGAGCCCTCTGTCAGTCTTATGTGTTGCAAATATCGTCTCCCACCCTGCGGCTTCCCTTTTCACTCTCAAGGTTATCTTTTGACGAAGGAAACATGAGACAAAAGTATAAATGTAAAATAGCAAACGTAATAAACATTTGGAATTTCTTATTAAGCACCATTGAATCAACAAAAATGTGCACACTTTTCCCATTCTGTTTAATGTGAGAGTTATAAAAAAATACCTTGTTACTCAACTACCCTCAATAAGGAAAAATGGCTCCCATATGCCAATAAATAAATTACTACATGATCCAAAACATCTTTGTTTGCAACTCAGAAAAGTAAGATGATTTAATAAGGAACAGGCATGTAAACACAACAAAATTTTTTAAAATTCTGTTCCAAGGGAAAGAGCACAGTAATCAAACACTAGTTCTTTGCAGTTACATTTTAATGAAGACACAGGGTTTCTTAAGTTGTGTTTTTCCCAAGTTTCAAAATACAGCATCCAGGAATGTATTTAGGATGACGTTCAAACAGTTATAACGTTCTAACTTACGTGAAAACTTTGGGAAGTGATACTCCTGCCAGAAAATATATTAAACTACATCTAATCCTAAGGAAAGATCAGACAAACCCAAATTGAGGGAAATCCCTTAACTGGCCCAATAATATTCAAAATTGCCAAGATCATGAAACACTGAAGAAGTGTTTCAAAATGAAAGAGACTAAGAGACATGACAACAAAATGCAACATGTAATTCTGAGAATTAGATAGTATGAATGTGTCAGTACTAGTGCCCCAAGTTTGATGGTTGTATTATAGAGACTGTCCTTATGTGTAAGAAATACACACTCAGTGGTGTTGGGGGCGCAATGTTGGAAAGAGTTCAGGAAAAAAGCTCTTTCTACTGTACTTGCAATTTTTATGCAAGCCAGAAATTGTTTCAAAAACATAAAAAATTTTAAAGCTTGAAGGAGCGCACAGGAGGGTTTATTCATAAGCTAGATTTAGAGTTTCTCACATTCCAATTCTAGTTAACTACTGGAAGGTAACACCAATTTATAGGTAACAGAAATTTCTCGTAATGCTTCCAAGATTTAAAACAAGCTAGTTCTCCGCCAAAAATGGCAAATTGGGACATCGCCAGTATAGGCTTTTATATAATAACTAGGGCTAGTGCAGAAACCTTCCTCATATGGGATTACACAAGACTTCATTCATAATTCTCTTAATTTGATAATATACAATCTGCTTTGTGCTATAATTACTTATGCACATGTACAAAAAACCTGGGTGCTATCTTGTAAATTCCTTGAGGGTAGAAATGCATCCTTCATTTAAATATTCACTTCATTTAAAATATTTACTGAAAAGCCATGTGCCATGGCAGGAGATTAGAATACAAAGTTACTTTCTTTGATCTTAAATTACCATAAAATGAAATGATTAAAGCACAGACAAGATACAAAGCAGACAAAAGGTGCTGAATGGGAGAAACAGACAATGCTTCTCCCTCTAGAAAAACAAAAATACCCCAAACTTATTTGCTGAAAATATTGTTGTCTCCCTGGATCTCCACTGATACTGGGCCAAAAAATTTTTTCTTTGTATTTCCCTTTGTCCAATTTAAAAGGTGGTTAAGCTAATAAATTCATAACATCAAATAAAACTTTAAGCTAAGAACAATGGTAAAAATTATGGCAAATATGCAAATACTCTGTTCTTCAACGTCTAAGTCTGGGTATTTATGACTAATTTAGTGGGGACGAGAGGAGAACTCTGCAATGGTTTCAAGTTGAGGAACCCTAATAGTAGGATTAGGTCCAGTAATATTCCCAGACCTGGAAGTCTCCACATTCAGCCCAATCTCTTACAATTTTGGAGTGCTTTAAGAGGACTGACATGAAAGCAGACAAGAGAGGAAGTGATACACCTTGAGCAAAGCCCTCAGACTACAAAAATTTAAGTTTAAACTTAGAGACAGCAAAAGCTTCCATGCTAATATCTCAATTTAAATTCAGAATAAGGCCCCCTACACAGGCCAAGGTGCTTCATCCCATACTTAACAATTAAGTATGCTACAAGAAAAATATAAATGGAATCAGGAAAAAACCCCTGGAATTCCCTATGGGAAATGTTAAAGTAAGATACACGGCCATTTTGGGGAAAACAATGCCTGACAATATTTTCCAGACCTTAAATTGGAATTCTCCACATAGCTACAATCACTCCAGCTCAAATTACATCATTCTTAGATAGGTTTCAACTTTTTCTTCCCAGCGTCCCCTGTTCCTCTCTAGGAGTGGAACAAAACATTGTATCCACTCAGTATAACCTTCATTCTTGGTGCCAGGTATTTCCTGGAATTTTAGGAACAATTTAATTGTAGGCTCTTTCCTGTAATGAGTAGATATGAAAGGATAAAAGCCTACAAATAAGTAAGACATTTGGATCATCAAGTTATTCAGCAGAGAAAATGACTAAAACCTACTCCTCAATGCCTAGTCCTGAAATTTATCTAACAGCATCTTGTGGGTTTTTCCGTTGAAAAGCGAGGAATTTGCAAAAACGGTATTCTTGTTAACTATTGTTAACAATAGTTACTAAGTTACTACAGTAACTAATCGTAAGTGTTCAGAATTTTACCTATATAAAATGAACAAAAATCCTACACTACAGTAGCTAAAAAACTGATGGGGAAAAAGAATATTGAGAAACTTCTTACAGGAAAAAAATTATTATACCACCATATACAATGTTGACAGATTTTAACTAAAGTTTCTTCCTTACAACTAGCCTGTTGGAAGAAATACTCTTTCAAATATTTCGTAATCGTGGGTTCCTCCTCCCCCTTGGAAATGTTCCTAAAACAAACATCAAAGTTTAGGGTACCACCTCTTAGGAGTCACATTGCTTTGCACTGTCACTACTCACCACCATGAGGTGCAATTTGTATGTTCTCTCTTTTAAATTACCCACCAATAGCAGTGACTAAAAACTATCTCCAGGAAGATTTCCCTTTCTCCCATAAGTTCCCCTCCAATATGTAGAATATTAACCACTATCACATGGTAAATATCAAAACGAACTTCGGGGTCAGGCCCGTGGCCCAGAGGTTAAGTTCGCGGGCTCCACTTCGCCGGCCCAGGGTTTCCGCGGCTCGGATCCTGGGCGCGGACATGGCACCGCTCATCAGGCCACGGTGAGGCGGCATCCCACACAGCACAACCAGAAGGACCCACAACTAAAAATATACAACTATGTAACAGGAGGCTTTGGGGAGAAAAACGAAAAATAAAGTCTTGAAAAAAAATTCTCTATTTACTCATCTGTATCCTTAAACAGACAGTACTTACACTCTTTCCTAGATCTAGCTCAATGCCTGTTGAATTAATTCCATGCACGTAGCGAAGTACTCTAAATTTAAGGGTAACAAGAAGAGATCATGCTAACATGCCGGTCCTTGAAAAATCACTTTTTTTTTTAAGCGTTTGGAGTGACTACCACTGCGGTGGTTTAGTAAGTAATTCCCAAAATAATTCCATGCAGTTAGAATCGCTCTAAGTTATAATCAAACACAGTTACCAGTTTCATTATAACTCATTAAACAATAACATCATTACTACAACATTATTTAAAGGCACAACGCGTAAAGGATCTCCTCTCACTGCGACCTAGGCAGACCACCAGAGATGTAAAGACAACTCCACGCTTGCACCTTTCACCCCGCCTCACGCCTACAGTGCCCAAGTCCTCGCTATCGTCTGCATTTCTATTTCGCCCAAGACACACCCCTGGCGACCTCAGGGTGCAGGGAACCCAGCTCTGCCTCCTCCTTCCCTGCCTCAGTACTATCTAAGCCTCCCGATCCTCCATTAGCCCCTGAAGCCGCCCCCCTTTCCTAGCCAGGAGTCGAATCACAGGGAGGCGGCGACTCCGCTGGCCCTCGCTCCCCGCTCCCCGCTCCCAGCCGCGGCCCAGCTCCCCCTCCGCCGTCCCTCTTCCCACCCCAACGGTCCTCAGGCCCCGCTCTCACCTCTCCACCCACTCCCTCAGGAAGCGCAATTCCTCGGTGTGCAGAACGCTCGGGTCCTGCTTACACATTTTCACGAAGGCCCGAAGCTCGCTCACTTTGCGGGGATCCATGGTGCGCAGGCGGCGGGAGACGGCGCGCTCGGCCGACGTTGCTGCCTGATTCCAGGCCCCGGTGCTGGCTCAGCGTGACCGCGTAGAAGGGGGCGGCTGCCGCGAGGCAGAACAGACTAGAACCTCCCTGGCCGCCGGCCCCTCCCTCCCAACGGTCTCGTGACCCGGGTCCTTCGCCTGTTTATTCCCACTCCCTCTACCTCTGCCCTTGCGCACTGGCTAGAACCTTCTAGAAGCGTGGCTGTTCGCGTTGTTGCCTGCCTCTCTACGCACGCATTCTTTACAGTATTCTTAACTCTGAACCAGTTCCTTGGATGGCTGAACCCGCTACATTGTGTTCTCAAGGAGGCGGGAGATATCATTCCCTACAGTGAGTCATTTAGAATTTAAGTAGAGCACGACGTCATGACGCCAAAAGGACCGCCCGGCCGGAGCAGCGGTCACAGCTCTGGCAGTGACGTCAGTATTCTGCGCCGCTGTGGGAGGAAAGCCCGGCGTGCGGCGCGGGCCGGAAGAGGAGGGGCGTTTGGCCGGGTTTCCTGGCGACGCAGGCCTCCGGGTGGCAGCTTCTCCCGCTGGTTGTCTCTTTCAGTTCCTGACGCGTGAGCGAGTCGGTCATGCTTTGGTTACTTTCGGCTGCTAAGCTGGTTCCCGCTGTAGTAAGCGCCCGCAGCCTCTCAGGTTAGACTCACTTCCCACAGTGTCCTCTCCGGGGCTTGCTCTCTGAGAAGCCTGAGGCGCCCCACAGGCATCCAAGTTGGTCTCAGGCGATCCCTGGTTCGGCGGAGCTCTCTTCTGCTGGGGTCTCCACTCTTAAACCCTCTGTGCGCTCCTCGGATATCTTCTTTACCTGCTGCTCCTGGAAAAGCGTGGGCCCTGTGTTCGCTCTGCTGTTGAGGTATTCTTGGAAGCGAAGTGGCTGCACACTCGTGTACCGTCCCCCAGAGGGGCTGACTTCAAAGTTACTCGGACTCATAGAAGTTGTGTCAGTTGTCACACACGCTTAGGTGACAGAGTGTCTCACATCAGGTAGCTCTTGTTTCTGTTGGGTTGACTTAAAATCCTATTTTCGTGTTTTCAGAGTTAACGAGAGCTGGGTCCAAAAGGTACAAGAAACGTATATTGAGTAACACAAATCCTTTGAGCAGTTCCTCTCAGAAGAGGTTATGTTTGGAAATACTCTTCGGGCTTTCTATGTCTTAAAGCCCTGTGTGTAAAGGTAAGATGAAGGAGTCCCAGAATGAGGGGGACCATTTTATAGGGTGTGCTCTATCGCGAGCAATTAATCTGATGAACATAAAGCCTGATCAGTGAAAGCCAAATCACTTACCTTGCAGGCAGATCTGCCATTCGATCATATTTCGTTTTTGGTGGGCTGATATATGAACAATGTGTGAAACAGAGCATGTGGTATTTGACATCAAAGCTCTGTCTTGGCGTATGTTTCCTATGTTGATATACTTGGATTTATTGAAAATGGAATAGTAGTTATATCAAGACTTACTCTTTAAGAAATAAAAGAAAATAAAAAGTAAGCATTGTCCAGTGCACAGACCTTGCTCTTCCTTTTAATAGTTAAGCTGCAGAAAGCTGTCACTCTCCGTGGGAGTAGGTGAATAGATGTGCAATTAGTCAATCACAGAGGCTGCAACCTATGATTTAGAGCTGGAACCATTCTTTGCTTGTGACTTTTTGGGTTTGTTGAGGCTTTGTGTAAAACCTGAATAATCAAGGTTTAGGACTAGATACTGGATTGTACACACCCAGATGTTTGAAAGAAATATTCATTATGCTTCATTTTGCCTCAATGGAATAAATAAATCTAACCATTTATACTAACATCATAAAATATATATTAGCTTTTGAGTAGATGAGTAATCTGCTTGGATCTTCATAAGTCCAATAAGTTAGGACAGATATCCTCATTTTACTGATGAAGAACTGAAACTAACACGGGATTGCAAGTAGCAAGTCAGGAATTTCAGTTGTATGATTGCTGTCTAGTCGTTTTTCTGTTATACCACCCTAGGTCTTACTCTGGCTTAGAAGAGTCCTTTTGGAACTATTTAGCCAGAAAGAATGTATGTTCATTCAATAACTTTTGAATTAGTAGTCATTGTGGATGAGTCTCCACTTCTTTGGAGTTGCTCACAGTCTAGTCAGAGTGATAGACAAGCAACAGCTAAATGACAATACAGCAAAGGATGGTAATAGAGTCTTGACTCAAGTGACATGGGAGCTCAAAAAAGGCAGTAATGGGTTGTAAATATTATGTCTTTCTGGGATTTTACTAAGTTTTAGAATTTGAAAATTTCACTGACTTGAGGTGCTCATAAAATAGAACGTTGAATGTTTGTGGTGCTCTTGGTTGCCCTTCTTTAGAAAGGCTCTGGGTACGGAGTATTGAGTACCATAGGAAACTTTCTCATCTGTGAAAGTCATGTGTTCCTAAAGTGAAAATGTTTTGACTAGCTAAAGGTTAACCTAATTAAGAGTGGGATTTCATTAGTTGGAATATGCAGTTATTTACACCATGTAGTCATCTGAGAAAAAGCAAAATAAAGCACTCCTCATGCATAAGTAAGTTGTATTTTAAAAATATAAATCGTTTAAGATAAATATAAGTCTGAGATGGGGAAGGGACATATTGAAAATATTAAAGAATAAGTAGAGAATATTTTTTAGAAGTCTGTTTGTGGGGCCGGCCCGGTGGCATAGCAGTTAAGCACACGCATTCCGCTTTGGTGGCCCGAGGTTCGCCGGTTTGGATCCTGGGTGCAGACATGACACCACTTGGGGAGCCATGCTGTAGTAGGCATCCCACATATAAAGTAGAGGAGGATGGGCACTGATGTTAGCTCAGGGCCAGTCTTCCTCAGCAAAAAGAGGAGGATTGGCAGCAGATGTTAGCTCAGGGCTAATCTTTCTCAAAAAAAAAAAAGTCTGTTTGCAGTTAATTCATTCAACGAACATTAGTTGAGCACCACATATGGGTACTGAGCACAAAGTTTCTAACATCACGGGAAACAGACAAAAAAGCAAGACCGATAGAGGTCCAGTGGTGAGGAGAAAGAAAAAGTGATATTTTCCAGGAGCAGGGAGGGACAAAGAGGAAATGTGGGCATGCGTTTAAAGATTAGGAGATAAGATTTGAGACTTGAAAGGCTTTCATCAAGCAGTCTAGAGTAATGGAGCCATCCTGGCTGAGGGAATGTATAGGCTCAGAACTCTGAAACAGAATGCCTGGTACAAGGCTTTGCAATCATTGGTAAGCCTGGAGGAGCTTTTTTGAAGCATATTCTAGAGCATATTAATATGTGTTGGCACCAGAATGGTTCTATGGTCAAATAAGTATGGGGAATGCTGCGTTCCATAGTGCCCATAATAGACTAATTCTAAGTCTCTGAAGAAGGAAATGTATTTGGCAGTAATTTCCAAAATGTATGTGACTGTGGAGCCCTTTTTCTGTGGTCTTAGACTGGTATCCCTTGGAACACATTTTGGAAAAAGTTGGCCTCCAGCCTAAGATGTATAGAAAGAGGTGGTAGAAAATCAAGTTGGGAAGAAAGCTGGTGGCTGGCTCCTGGAGGGTCTTATATATTATCTTAAGAAACAATGAGCTTCTTCCTTTAGGCAGTGGGAAACCATTGAGTAATTTTAAGCTGTGGAGTAAGATTAAATCTGAATTTTTAGTTATCTGTTAAGGGTGGAAAAATGGACTGGAAGGCAAGTCATTTCATTCTTAAATTTTCAGAGACACTTGTTTTTGCTTTTGTTGTTGGAAAATTGCATTTTTTTCCAACTCTGATTAGTCCCACTTACATGGTGACACATAAACTCTGCTAAATACCACATTTTATACAAGTAGCATTTAAAATACGCTAAACTTTCGTGATTTTATTTTCTGAAAATAAGCTTTAAATGCTAATTGTCCTCAGTCCCTCCTATAGAATAAATGACCTTTCCACCCACCTACCCCTAAAAATCATACAAAGTGAAACAAAAGCTCGCGCTTTACTACCAGCAGTCATTTTAACTTAGTAGACATTATAATTTTTTCTGGTTTCCAAATTTGTTGCATTGCTAAATATCCCTGAACTGTATTTTGCTAAAGTTGATTGGGGTTTAGTGCTGCTAGATTATTTGCTGCTATCTTTAAGTCACATTAAAATTTACAGTAATTACATTTCTAAGAGATAAAAGATTAAAATAATCTGATCAGTATATCTTTTTGCTAAAAAAAGGAAGAATTCAATGACAGAGGAACATGCAGGATGCAAGGCATCTCAAATGTGGCACATCCAAATTTAACACCTGCAATTCCATCTCAAATGAATGGCAGCTCCCTTCTTCCAGTTGCTAAGGCCAAAAACTTTGACTTCTGTTGTACCCACCATCCAGTCTGTCAGTAAATTCTGTTTGGCCCTCCCTTTAGAATATATCCAGAATTTGGTCACTCTTTACCACCCCTACCACCATCACCCGGGATCAAGCGACTACAATCTCTTGCCTGGATTGTGATAGCCTGATTTCCCTGCTTCTGCCCTGGCTTACTTTGAGTCTGTTTTCAATGACAGAGGCCAGAGTGGGCTCGTTTAAATATGTCAGATTATGTCGCTCTGCTCAGAGCCTCCAGTGGCTTCCTGTCCCATATATAATAACAAAGTCCATACTGTGCTCTAGCATAATCTGACCTCCTGTTACCTTTCTTACCTGGTCTACTTGCTGTCCTAATCAGCCACACCAATCTCCTCCCTCTTGCTCAAACCAGACTGCAGCCCGCCTTACATAGGGACATTTCACTTGCTAATCCTTCTGCCTGGAATTCTCTTTCACCGGGTGTCCATGTGGCTAACTCCTTCCCTTCCTTTAGGTCTTTACTCAGGTGCAACCACCACTTTTCCCTGGCTACCTTCCTAAAATTTCAACCCTCATACTCTAAAACTTTTATCCCCTTCCTGTACTTTATTTTTTTCCTTAGCTCCTATGACTAACATTATATTTT